ACACTACATATGCGCAGCAAGCTGAGTCAATAGTTGTCTATCATGTACATACAGGTCTGCTCAGTTTTTTGCCCATCAGAATAAATAAATCACATGTTATACCACATGTAACTTTTTCGACTTTGGAATTTTTTTCCCAAAAATTTACTACATATCATTCTGTAGCTGCTCAAGCAATATTGTTGAAGCTATGTCTTAGTAACAGAAAGTGTGTTACATGCAGTTGAGTTGATGAGATCACACCAAAACATTGAGTCAGTGTATGTAGTCAATCTTTTGGAAGCTTTTTTCAATCTGAAAGAAGTTACAGCATGTATTACATATGAAGAACTTATCCTGATGAGCAGATAACTGAGCAGAACTGTATGTACATGATAACCACATATTCACTGAGCCTGCTACACATATGTAGTGTGGGTGTTATGGTTCAGGTGTGGAGTGATAGACCATTTTATGACAAATCATACTCCCAATCATTTTTTCCTGCCCACTTGGGGAACCCAAATGATGTTTGCAGTGTGTACCGCCGGTCCCCAGGTAGCTGCTTCAGACAGGCTACGTAATCCTGCTTTTAGGCTTGGACCACCCAGTGTTAGGTGGTCTACAGCTTTAGTCAAGTATACATACCAGTCCCCAGGTACTCTCTCCAGTCAAAGGAAATCCCCTTTATTTATGGTTTGATCACCTTTGGTAAGGTAGCATAGACCACAGCCTAGAACACCTAAGCCTAGGTGGTCAAACTTTAATAGATAGACCACCTAGGCTTAGGTGGCTCTCTTCTCCAGTCGATTGACTGGAGAACAGGCCTAGGTGGTCCAAGTTCAATAGGAGGACCACCTAGGCTTATGTAGTTCTCTTCTCCAGTCGATCGACTGGAGAACAGGCCTAGGTGGTCCCAGTTTACTAGGAGGACCACCTAGGCTTATGTGGTCTTCTTCTCCAGTCGATCGACTGGAGAACAGGCCTAGGTGGTCCAAGTTCAATAGGAGGACCACCTAGGCTTATGTGGTCTTCTTCTCCAGTCGATCGACTGGAGAACAGGCCTAGGTGGTCCAAGTTCAATAGGAGGACCACCTAGGCTTATGTGGTCCTCCTCTCCAGTCGATCGACTGGAGAACAGGCCTAGGTGGTCCAAGTGCAATAGGAGGACCACCTTGGCTTATGTGGTCCTCTTCTCCAGTCGATCGACTGGAGAACAGGCCTAGGTGGTCCAAGTTTAATAGGAGGACTACCTAGGCTTATTTAGTCCTCTTCTTCAGTCAATAAACTGGATAGAGTACCATGGGACCAGTTCCAGGGCTTTTTCTCCAGTTTCTTGACTGGAGAAAAAGACCACCTAAGCCTAGGTGGTCTATCTAATAAAGTTTGACCACCTAGTCTTAGGCCTTCAAGGCTGTTGTCTATATACCACCTAAGCCTGGGTGGTCAAATTTGATTACATGGACCACCCAGGCTGAGGTGGTCCTCTAGTGTTCATGTTTGTCATTGTGTCCTTTGATTGTGTTGCCTTTAATGAATTTTGTAATGGCAATATCAGTCATTGATATTGACTATGTGTACCATTGAGCCAAATCCCAGTCCACAACCGGTCACATGACCTTTTGTGTTTTGTTGTTTTTTACGTTTGTGAATTTTGACATGTTGAAAATTTGATTTCTTGAAATTTTCGTGTATTATTTGTGCCAAAGTGCCAAGTCAATGGTTGTAATTTGAGTTGCGGTTTGCAAACAGGGGAAACTGGCAGAAAGTTTGGTTTTATCCCCAATACAGGGGGTTTCAGACCGGTATTTGAGTTAAATCTGATGTTTAATCCAGTTTTGTCAATTTCTGACCCGGGGATTCGGAAATTTCCAATTTTGAAATTCTATTTGTCACTTTGACACACCTCACATTCCGTAGATAACTAGCTCTAAGGTACCAACATACCTTTTGTAATTTGGGCCTTTGAAAGCGGCGGCCCGCCGCTGATGTGCTAGTTATGTGATAAACAGAAACTGAGGAGATGAGTCAGGCCTCCCTCAGGCAACATTCCTTAGCAAAGAAGCCTGAGGGAGGGCTGGCCCATCTGCTCACTTCATCTAAGCTCAGCTCTTCCTCAGCGGCATCCCTTGACGCCTGATGATCCGGGGGACACCTGTGGCTGGCTGGGCTTTTGTCAAGCTAGCCCTGTGTTGGTTTTTACAACACCAACCCTAAACTTTTTCAGGAGCAAGGGCAACTGGGACGTCCCCCAGTGCTGACTGTCAGCTGACAGTAATCACTTTCACATCCCTTTTTGTGTTACCAATCCAATACAGTCCACTATTATCCTCCCAAGTTTCTTCAACAGGCGCTACATGAACTGCAACCTATAGGTCCAGCAATCTGTGTCATCAGGCAAACACTGGGTTAAGCAATCCGGAGTCAAAGAGAGCAACAAAACCACTTACTGCAAGTCGATTCACAACCTTTCCGACCATTTGGTCAATGTTTTGATTTGGTTGGGCTCGATATTGGGTCCCTTCTCTTCAATTCCGTTGTAGAACTCTTTCAGTACACAGCTGAAAGCAGAGCCAAGAAGGGGAGGAATGAAGACACAAATCAACAAACACACACAATCAAAAGAGAAATAAGTCTTGAGATGGTGAATTGAAAGACTTCAATCAAAGAAAGAAATGCCCTTCTTAAGCAGGGACTTTGATTATCAATGAATTAAATTTAAGACCTTCAAGTCTTTGGATTAATAAGAACCAGGCTGAAATAGGACAATAACTTCAAAAATAGCACAATCTAGGCGCACTCAGGCACCTTCCAAATGAGCAAATGAGCTTACAACTCAACAAGAAATTAATTAAAAGATGAATAAGGGTCTTATTATTATAAAATTCCAACTCTCATTAGTTGTTTACCTGAATGATAATAATAAAAGATAAAAGCTTATTCTAAAAATCTAGTAATTATTTTTGCTAACTAAAAGGCTCCCAAAGGGGAAGAAAAGAGACCCTTGACTATATCAAAATTGAAACACACACAAAAAAAGAAAGTAAGACAAAAACAACCCTCAAACTCGAAATCCACCTTCAAACAACTTTTTCACACACAATTCATTGAACAGCCCCCAAATTAAAATTGATAAACATCTTCAACTCACCCACATGTATCATTCACAAATTTTCAAGCACACATTTATCATCAAAACTGAGCTGTTTACCACAAAAACTGAAAAATCCGCCAATTTACCCTTAAAACCTGAAAAAAGATAAGAAATAGGGACTGTATCAAAAATCTGAATAGACAGAACAAAAGGTCTGCTTCCGCTCTACAACTTTGCTCAGCCAAGCTAAACTCTAACTCTATTGGTTGTACCCTTAAAATGAAATTCGATTTTATGTGAAAATACTCGAAATTGAATTTACCCAGTTTACCACCTGATATTACCACTGATAATGCTGTATATGGTTTATAATTGATTTTTCATGCTCAGATGCGCCCATATGATGCCTTCCACATGATTTACCCTCTAAAAAACTGATGTAGTACATTTGAAATAAAGTCTCATGATTGAAAATGGAGCCTTTTATGGAATTTTGAAAGCCATTTTCGAGTTTCAAAATCATCCTTTTCATTTGTGATTTTGTATTTGCCAATATTGGTGTTTGATAATCTGATGAATTTATAATTTCACACCAATCCCTACTTGCTTTTTCAGTTTACCACCCCAGTTTACCACCACCCCAGTTTACCACCATCTGTCTGAGTTGCTGGATTTTCGAAATTCAGCCTTATTTAAACCCATACCTCAAAACCATGATTCCTCTACACATAACTTGTTAAAACCATACACATCTGTAACCATGACTTTTTAAACCCATAAAATTCGAAATTTCAAGTTTAAGCCTGTACACCCTATGTAACCCATACAACATTCAACTACACATAACCTCTAAACCCATAAATTCGAAATTTGACTTCATTTTACACTACACCTCATCCATCAAACTACATAACCCATAAAAAGAAAAATAGAGAAATAAAAATATAACACTTCACATAATAAAACTTGACATATATGATCAAACTAAATAAGATAAAAAATAAAAATTGAAAATTGAAAATTGAAATTAAGTAAAGAGAGAAAGAAAATGAAAAAAAAAGAAATGAACTAAATAAAGAACTAATTTAAAAACACATTATTGATGTAATGTTCTAAAAAATGTAGTTTCTCGTATTTTAAAATGAAAGTTAATAAAATAATGGGGTTACCCCAATTCTGATTTCCACACCGTTCATTCAAGTAGAGGGTGGAGTGCTAAACCCAAACGCAGTTCGACTCCGGTTCATAGACATCAAGCTGACTCGGTTTTGAAGACCGCTACCACCACCGCCGATTTGTCCTCTCAAACTTGAAGGAGCTCGAGTTCTCGTAATTCGATTTGGGTATCTCGAAGTTTGAAATACAGTTTGTTTAATTTCTTATCAACTTTGATATACTTCACAAATACTTTGAGCTTTCTCTCACAAATTATCCAACAACTTTCTATCCTATCAAGCCGATGGGTCAGGCTGGCAGTTCTAATTCTCAAATCACATCTCAAGATCGTGCCCTCCTTGAGTGAGCATCCATTGACGCTTCAAGAAGATAGACACACGGCTGGCCTACCACCCTCCCAGATGATCATTTTTGGTACTGGTGGGAGGCCTATCGATCTTTTTTATGCGTGATCATCTTGATTCACTTAGGGCGACTTTTGACTTGATGTGCCTTCCTTCACTCTCATTCTGGCTTTTGAAGTATGAAACTACAACGAGATGAATTGAAACGATACAAGAAAAAGATATGAAAACTTATCAATCTGTTTGCCTTACTTTGAAATGAATTCTTATGAACGTTGTACTTTTTTGATAAATCAGATCGAGATTCTTGCGGATCAAGAACAAAATATTGCAAAGGATACATTATCAAAAGGAAATAAAGCTAGAGCTCTTTTAGCATTACATAGGAAAAAATATCAAGAAGGTTTATGAATTACAACGGACCAACACCTTCAAACATTACAAAATTTGGTAAAGTCAACCTTCCTCCAAGGCCGACATGCCTTGCAAAGCCATTGCCACCACTCATGAATCTAATCAAATCATTTTTTACTTCTTGGACTGAATGTGCTTTTTATAGGTTTTGAGTGTTGAATTTTCATTGATTGAAAAGGATGTATTGTTTGGTCTTCAACAAGGAAATAAAGTCTTGAAGGAAGTACACAAAGAAATGAATCTTGACAGTGTCGAGAAACTCATGAGTGATACTAATGAAGCGATTGCATATCAAAGGGTGAGTACATATTGTCTAAACCAACAAGATTCAAGACTTCCGACTATACCCGACTTACTTGATTGTCTATAATGTTTCTAACTTTGGGGACTGGAATCGGGTTTGTAGGAGATTGATGAGATGACGATGTCAAAGATGAATGTAGAGGAAGAAGAAGAGGTTGAACAAGAATTGGAATCATTACAAGCCCAAGAGGTCAGGGTTTTTTATTCGCTCAACTAATCCTATATCCCGAAATTTGGTTTTGCTAGCGCTTGATTTGCGCGTTTCAAAATCAATGACCAAACAGAACTCACAACTCAAAGTCCAACTATCTATCCCAATTGATCTACCAGATGCTGCCAAGACTTGTCTTCCAGAACTACCGAATCCAGGTAGGATAAGTCTGCCTAGCTTTCATTGTCTTGCCTTTCTGAATTTTTGATTTCCTGGGAATGATCACAGTTCTAGAGCAGGTGGAGTCACAAGAGCCTGGAAAACAACTCAAAGCTATACCTGCTTAATTTTTCATCTGGTTGTCTTTTTATCTTTTTGTTTATCACATAACAGCAGTTTACTCTTCGTAGTCATCATCATCTTTCTTTTGTTTTAGTCTGGATGCAACCAATTGTTTGATCTTCATAAACCTCCGTTTCAATCAATCATTCTCTTCATTCAACCTCACAGAAGAAGTTGAAGAGGTAGAAGAGTTCAAGCCAATGTCTTTGATCTTAGCCTTTGATCCGCTTTTGATTTGGGTTGAAAGTGACTCGAGTTTATGAATTTTTGTACTCTCTTCTTCAACCTCGTTCATGAATGGATGTGATTCAGATTCTATCCAAGACTTCAACCGAGATGCTTCAAGCCCGATCTGATGTGCAATCACAAACTGATCCACTCCCATTTCTTCCATCTGAACCATCTCCCAAGCACCTTCAACTATCCTTTCAATAGCTCTTCTTTCCACTTCACTCCTCTTACTCAAAACCTTTTCGAAACTTGATGCTATTCTCAATAGTTTGGATTCTGATTTGATCAAATAAGAATGTTCGATATTGGGCATCTGACTCAGGTTCACAGTTTCTTTCGAGATCTCAGAAACCTTGGACTTCATGAGTTGTAATGTTTGGTCGATCTGGGTCAGCTCGGTAGTCTGACTGTTGATTAAACTTCTCAAATCTTTGAGAGCTTTTGAGAAGCAGTACTTGGAGATTATACATATCAAACTCAACCCGTCAAAAAACAGGTCTCTGCTCAAAAACCTGCGGAATTTGAGCCAGGTTCCGGCCGTGATTCTTGGGTACCCTGCAAACCCAATTTGAACAAAAGGGGTGTAATTTTGTGGTGTAGTTCTGACATGTATTGGGAAGGGTGGTGAAAAAAATGAGTTTGTTTCCATCTTGGGGAGGTTCTGAGCTGTTCTGAGTATGCCTCATGAGCGGATCCTGAATACTCATCTCAGAGACTGAGCCCAAAGAATGCTCATCCGTGATGAAAATGAGCATTCTCCAGCAACGCCAAGCAAAATCTGAGCAAAACAGCCTGATTGCATGAACACTACCAAACTCATGAATTGAATGATTCTGAAACAAAATGAATCATTTTTGGAGACTTCAGGAAAGTCTACAACGCTCACATAGTTGTGAGCATCAATTTTGGCCCCTGTGTCAGTGATTTATTGCCGGATGGAACCTTGTCAGATGTCGGAACTAGAGACAATGAACTGGCAGAGCAAGCAATTACAGACTCAAAAGCTAATGGAGATCACCGGTACTTTGATAACCCCTATATAATAGGAGGAGCGCTAGAGCATACAAATCCTTGGACTGGAAGATATGAAGTAGGCTGGGATCTGTTATCAAATAGCGATGAACAAATAACCGCGGTAAAAGGAGGCTGGATGCTATCTCACCTGGCCCCAAACGGGAGAAACCGGCATCACCATCAACAAGCTCAGGCAATGCATGACGGGGGAGTGAATCACGGGTTGAATGGGAGAAATTATCATGTGATGGATGAGTACCATGATCAAGGAGTAGGAGGTAGTGGTAGTCACGGTGGAAATGGAAGAGGCAGGGGAAGAAGAGGAAGTAACGGGAGAGGAGGTGGACAGAGACCCACAGTTGTACCACCAACAACCGTAGTGAATGGAGTGGTAGTGCCGAAGTATGGACCAGGAGCGTTTGAAGCAGTGAAGGCGGCACGCCAAGCATACAATTGATGAGAGAGGAGAGTGGAGGACAAACCTCAAACCCCAAACCTCAAACCCGGTACAGACTGTACAGCCTGTACAACTTTTTCAATACAGAGCCTGAGATCCATCAACTAGATCAACTTCACTCGTATGTACTTACCTTATCTTACTCAACTCAGCTCACAATCCCGACCTCGCTAGAAGATGTTCATTTGATGACAGACGGTGCCCAAAGGCACGATGGTACCGTCTATTTCCACGCGACGGGACTGATGTCGGACTATGGGTAATACAGGGGAATATCCCTATACTGGGGGAAGGAGAATTTCCCTCGACGAGTGTACCTTGGAATAATCAAGGTTGAAAATTTCTCTCTCTGAAAATTTCCTTACACGTCGAATTCCCCATTTTCCGTTATCCCCGCTTGACCCGGGAAATCATCACATTGACTCTTTTCTCTCTCTCACATCACAAGCTCTGTAGCTTGTCTTTCCTTTTCGAATCAGATTATATCATTAACTAGTCATCTTAAAAATGGCAACACCCAATAACCAGAACACTAATACGGAGAAATTTAACAAGATGATGAGAAGGTCGAGTGATAGGCTGAGGGGAGGCTCAGTTCCACCTCCAGACTCGGAACCGGTTGTACCAAGTTCTATTACTACAACTCAGAGGGGAAGAGGACGTGGTCGCGGTCGTCGTAACGGAATGGCATCTACGAGAATTGACAATCAGTCGTCGAACAAAACGGGAACGACACCAGTTGTTACACTCACTGTTCCTGGATCGAATAACCCAGCTCCCCCTCCTTTACCGACACCAGACGCTCAAGGTTCTGGACCTAATTCAAACCAATCCGTGGATCAAAGTTCAAGTACGGAAGATGCTATTCATCAAGAAAAGTCGGGTACATCTGTTTTACACTCTGCAGGATTACTCGCAAGAGACAAAGCGGTCAATGCACAAAATTGTATGCTATCAAATATTTTTTACCCACCTCGAGTGTTGCCGCCGTGTGCGATGATTCTTTATTTGTCCACTTCAAAGTGTTGCCACCAATGGTGAAGTCTTGCAGATAGTGCAGATATTGGAGCGAAGTCGATACTGAGACCATGGATTTGTTTGCCTTCCCTTGTTTCTTTGTTTGTTAAGCGCAATCACCGACTCGCAGAAATACGGTTACAGGAGTCGGCGAAAGTCCTCCAAAAGGCCTTCATTCTTGGCTCCTGGCAAATGGTTTGACCGTGGTCCAGAGTTCAAACAAATCAGTTCCATCCTTGCATGGTGTAACCTCGGCCATTACTCAAAGCCTTTCTGCGACGGTCTCAGGCCAACAAAAATCAGTTGGGAATTCTTCCTCCTCCTTACCGTCAGTTACGAACACAGTAACTAGCTCAGCAGCTCCTGCAAAGAAGAAGATTTGGGATTTAACAAAGGATTCGGATGATGCTACGAAGGAGATCTCCAATGTACCTACTAAGAAGAAAGCTGAAGTTGGCGAAGCAGGTATTCAAAACCATGGTCTAGTTGCGTTATTGAAATACTGGGATGATAAGATGAAGCCGGTAGATGGATATGTCCCCTTATCTATCTTTAATCTCGTTTGGTTACGTCAAGATCTGGTTCGAGTAAAGCCCAAAAACAAAAACGACAAAGATGACTCTTGTTATGTTGGATTGCCGGTGGTAGATGAATGGAAAATGACCTTCGGAGAATGGGTGACGGCCTTCGACCTTTTTGTAGCCTACTTACGTTATTATGAACATGGAAGATTGGCAGATTTGTTTATGATTCACAAGGCAAACGTGTTAGCGATCAAGTCGGAGCGTTTGTGCTGGCCAATGGCGTTTAGATATGATCAAGCAGTTAGGACGACTGTCATGACTATCAGAAATGAAGATGGTAAACTTGCTAATCCAGCCATTAGAGATGAGACCTTCGAACGGAACGCTAGGATGGACAGTGAAAGAATGAATGATTTCCAACCAAGGTTCGGCAATATCAATCCATACGCTGATTTCGAGTGTAAATCAAACATCAACCCTCTGACTGGCGAAGTGATCCACCACAACACGACTCAAGGTGGAACTGTCATGAACTCACACCTCAACCAAGTTAGCCATCATGGCAAGCCCAACGCTAGATCCTGGGCCTTTGCGAATCAAAACGTACCTTGCCCAAGTAACCCAACCTCCTTTACTAGTCAGCCGGTGTACAAAGGACCGGGAAGTTCAGGTTATCATCATTATGATGATCGAAGAGGTGGAGGTCGTAACGTAAGGGGAAGAGGTCGTGGTGGAGCATGGGTTAATAATGCCGGAGGTGGTAGAGAAGATCGTTATGATACTCAACGGGCCGAGGGTAATGGATCTTGGCGTAAGGAGGATAGACGGGAGGATCGAAGAGGTGGTGATCGCGAAGTGACCGGCCCCAAGTATGGTGGTGGAGGCAAGGCAAAGTAAGCCGTCTAGAAAATAATCCCTCCTTTTGGTTAATGAATAGATAGGTCCATACCTATTCAAGACATATCTTTCAGGAGACTAGATGTTCTACTCCGTATCGTGCTCGTTCGTCTTTCTTGATGTGTGCCTCTTGGCTTGTGGTGGTTTGTTTAACACCGTAACGGTCGTTATTCCGACGGTTTACCCGGTCGAGATGACTAAGTTACATCCTGTATCGCTCTTGATTAGTTCCATATTGTCGATTGAGTGAAGAAATGAAAATGAAACAGCGATGGCCTTGAGAAATAATTGTTTCTGACCCAAATTGATCCTCCCTTTTTCCGCTCGGTTGTTCTCAATTAGTTTTGATTGGGAAAAGGAAGTTCAAAGCCCGAGAGCCACACCGGAAGTTAGACAGACAAATACATGGTCTGTAGAGGGTATCGTGAGAATTTTGCCGTATGTGAACTCTGGGAGAAGTCATGACCCAAGATGGCCGCCAGAGCTAGCGGTATGTGATTTGAATTTGATGAAGTGGAGGTCGTTGGTGAAGGAATTTAAGATAGGTGGAGACGCAGACGAGGTGATACGAGGTTGCCGTGATGGTTTCCATCAAGGGATTCCAGATCATACTCTTGGACGATTGCGGTGGTTCACACCTCCGAACCATGAAACTGAGACTCAAGCAAAAGAAAAAATTGAAAATACTTTAGCCAAGGAACATAGAGCTAAAAGAATTTTTGGGCCATTTACTCATCAAGAAGTCTTTGATAAGATAGGATTTTTTAGGTCGAGTCCAATGGGTAGCGTAATAAATGGTGATGGCTCTTTTCGTATAATCAATGATCTGTCGTTTCCTCAAGAGAGTTTAGAAACACCGTCAGTAAATAGTTTTGTAGATAAGAAGGAATTTGAAACCACGTGGGATGATTTCAAAGTTATTGCGGCATTCTTTAGGGATAATACTGGAAGGTACTTACTGGCGGTGTTCAATTGGGAAAAAGCCTACAGGCAAATTCCTATACATCCATCACAATGGCGTTTCTTGTTTATAATGGACTTGCGTGGAAGACTGTGGTTGGATTCAAGAATTCAGTTTGGTGGAGTCGCGGGTTGTGGCGTATTTGGAAGGCCAGCGGACTTATGGAAGAAGATTATGATTGCCTTTTTCGGTTTGAAAGCAGCGTTTAGGTGGGTTGATGATAACTTGCTTATTAAGGAGGTAAGGAACCCTGTGTTGATACAAGACGTGGTAAATATTAGCTCCGAGATGGGAGTAGCTTCAAATCGGGAAAAAGTACATGAATTCGCCGAGGAGCAGCGTTACATAGGTTTCATATGGAATGCAAAGGAAAGGACAGTACGCTTACAGGTTGAAAAACTTGAGGAACGAACAAGAGAAATTGACAAATTCCTTGACCCAGAAGAATCGTTTAACTTGAAGAAGACTCAAAAATTTATCGGACGGTTAGTGCACACAACGCATATCGTTCCTCACTTGAAGTGCTATGTATCCAGCCTATATCGCTGGGAGGCAGAGTGGCAAGTTGCATCAGCAAAGAGAAAAATCCCAACAGATGTAAGGGAAGACTTAATTGAGTGGCAAGAAGTCATGAAGAACCTGGAACCACGACGAATAATACCGGACCAAGTACCGATCGATTTGGAATGGGTTGGAGATGCTTCGTTATCAGGGATAGGTGTCCTGATCGGAGAGAGATGGGCTCAGTTCAATCTAATTGAAGGATGGAACAATGTTTGTGAAGGTAAAGTTAAGCGGAATATAGCATGGGCAGAAACCGTTGCTATTAGATTGGGAATGATAATGGTTAACGAGATTATGGAAGTTGGGGGAAAAACTTTCTTGGTACTCACGGACAATACAACGTCCCAAGGTGCAGTGGACAATAAAAAGTCGAAAGATCGCGCAGTGAATGCTGAATGGAAAATTATCCAGAAGCTGTTGGGAAAGTTTCACTGTGATATTGTGGCAGGACGCGTAAAATCAGGTGACAATCTGGCTGATTTACTATCATGTGGGAAGGATAAGCGTAATGCTTACAATTGTGTTGAGATCGAACTGCCTGTTGATTTGTTGGGAGTTGTGAAACAAGTCCTGTGAAATATATCCTCCTTTTTGTTCCATACCCATAGTTAGAGAGGTCCGAGATTTATCCCGGTCGGGATGGTGAGTCCGTGAGAAGCTGGCTGAGTTGAGAAACTTCTACGAAGTGATCCAAGTCACAATTGAGAATTAAGTTCGATACCGTTACCCGACAAATCATCTAGCATGGAGTTCTTGAAAGGAGTAGATGGAGTTGATTCGTCAGCTGATGATACGATAAAGTCGTACATGATTGGAGGTACTTGGTCACCGGCTACGTTGAAGCATTATAATGCAGGAGTGGTCAAATTACTTACCTTCGCGAGGGAAAAAGAAATCCCACGGTGTCTACTCCTACCGATCGATACGACTGTCCTCTATCATTTCGTGGTATGGGCGGGCCCGACTCCGATGGGCCAAACTCAAACAAGCAACTCACCGCCGATAAAGTCGAATACGATAAGAACTTATCTATCTGGTGTCAAAGCGTGGCATTTATTCCACGATTACGATTATCCTCATCATGCTATGCCAAGAGTTGAGGCGATACTCACAGCGGCTCAGAAACTAGAACTAAAGGATGAACCAAAGCTGAAGAAGAATCCTGTGTTGATAAAGAACTTATTCAAATTAGTTGAGGGATTAACAGAAGGAGGTTTAGAGAACCAGGTTGCTTACACAGTAGCGTTGGTTGCCTTTTGGGGGATGGCACGATTGGGGGAGTTAGTGAAATCGGCGAAGAATTTAGATCAAGTGAGAGTAAAGGACTTAGTCTGGGATCCGAGTGGGACATATTTGATAATAAAAATTAGGGCAGCAAAGACGGCGGCAGTGGGGGAGATTCAGGAAATTTACTTACAAACTCAACCGACGCTACTCGATCCGGTATCAGCTGTACGTCGCCTGATGACCGACACTGGAGCAACAGACGTTGATCCCCTATTTTCATACCCAAAGGGTAATAAGTGAATAACCTTAACGAAGTCACGATGTCAGAAAATATTCTCAGACGCTTGGAAGAGTCAAGCAGGGTGTGTTCTTACTGGTCATTCATTTCGGGTTGGCGGAGCATCGCTAAGGTGGAACTTGAATAGTCCTTTGGAAGAAATTGTGACAGTTGGGAGATGGAAATCGAAGGCGTATAAGCTCTATATCAGGGAATATAAGGAGGAGGACCTTCTAGAGACTTTGCAGATATTGGAGAGTTTGTCGTTTCAGGATTGATCGGAAATTGATCGGTCGATCATGGATATGGTGAAATGTATATCTTTAGAGTGATACAACTCCCTCTGTACAGAGATGTAACAGACGTGGAAGTTTTTCGTGGGGGTAGGGTAGATGTCACATGATGACCCGAGCCACAGTAGGTGGGCGATCACAGGCTCAGGACTGTGTCCCAAGTCATGGGGAAGCGCTCTCCCGCCTACTGTTACTGGTGGTCTTACCTCCCTCAGCCCTTGTTAGGGTTGGGGGCCCCCCCCAAGAAACCAAGAGTATTCATTACGAATACTTTAGGTTTGCATAAGACAAACCAAAACAAACTTATATGTGATATTACAGTACTAAGTCTTGTGTTAGTATGCGAAATGAACAATGAGAAAGAAAGAAGCTATACACACTGAGACATTGTAGAGTAAAGAGTGGATGACAGACGGTGCCCAAAGGCACGACGGTACCGTCTATTTCCACGAGACGGGACTGATGTCGGACTATGGGTAATACAGGGGAATATCCCTATACTGGGGGAAGGAGAATTTCCCTCAACGAGTGTACCTTGATATAATCAAGGTTGAAAATTTCCTTACACGTCGAATTCCCCACACGTCGAATTCCCCATTTTCCGTTATCCCCGCTTGACCCGGGAAATCATGACATCGACTCTTTTCTGTCTCTCACATCACAAGCTCTGTAGCTTGTCTTTCCTTTTCGAACCCACCCACCGCCCGAATAGGAAACAGGAAGTGGTATAAAGATAACTATGGTATAAGTAGAGATATAAGGGTAGGTGCAGGGAATGTTATATGTAAGTTGTAGAGGGAGTGCCTAACCCACCGTTCAGCGCTCTCCCGCCTACTGTTACTGGTGGTCTTACCTCCCTCAGCCCTTGTTAGGGTTGGGCCCCCCCCCAAGAAACCAAGAGTATTCATTACGAATACTTTAGGTTTGCATAAGACAAACCAAAACAAACTTATATGTGATATTACAGTACTAAGTCTTGTGTTAGTATGCGAAATGAATAATGAGAAAGAAAGAAGCTATACACACTGAGACATTGTAGAGTAAAGAGTGGAAATCACATTTCACTCAAATGCAATCGATTTATAGAACATCCGAGACGCCGGACGGTAACAATCAATTAAAGGTAGGTTTTGGACTTTCTTAACTGCTGATTTTCGGGCTCAAAGTACTTTTTCACTTGGTTTTGTGCTAGGGCGCAGGAATCAGGATCGGCTAAAGAAAACTTGAATACATAGATCATGTCGCTCTTCATTAACTTCATAATCAAACAGAAGAAGGAAACTTTGAGATATCGCGATGGCGATGCCTGTCTCAGCCAATAAAATCAGGGGCTTTGATCCGGGTCGTTTTCATTCAATCAGTATGCATAGGACATTTTTCAGCTGGTTTTGAATGAGATACTATAGTTTGATGGTTGCTCTATCTCTGTATGTCATTGATTAATCTTTGCTATCAAATCACTTTTTGTTATTGATGAGTTTGTAATTATAAAACCACCACTTATCTTACTACTTCAAGTTGATCAGTGTAATACCATTGAACCACGAGCATTACACACAAGATTTGCATCTTTTTCTTCATGTTTGATCAATTGGTGTTCCCAACTATCTCATGATGAAAAGGTTATGTTTTTGAGTACAAAGTTTGTTTCTAGAATTCCGTCCGTAAATTCTCTGGTAGATGAACATAACTTTGACACATCTTGGGATGATTTTTATGCTG